AGAGTATCCTACATCGCTAGAGCAGTGATAATATATTTAATAATGCACACATTGTTGTAATAATTATGTATTTTTATTATTGATTTTTCCTTTGTATATATTATTTATTCTGTCCATTAATGTTTAATTATATACAAATGAAGAAAACACTGTTACTGCGCACACATATAGGTTGAGTGAGCGGCGACTTCCTACTACTTTCGGGCCTATATCTTGCCTGCTCTTAAGAGGTTTGTGCTCGCGGCGAAGTCGTTACCGTTTTCACTTTAAATAGTCATATGACAGTTTCCTACCTTGCCACTGCCTGGAGTCACATGCGACTGATTTTGCGCTCGTTTTCTGTGATCTCTCCCTGTACCTACCCATATAAAAATTCTCCGCTGTTTTAAGACCCCGCAAGCTCTCATAATTGCTAGAGATTAAGTACCTTGTTTGAGACAGATGAACTCTGTCCAATAAAAAAACTTTGGAGAGTTTAAACTGTTAGCCTGACTAAATCCAAGACTGAGCCTTGAGATCTACGCCTCTGACAGTGTAGATATTCATTAACACACTACTGAACCGTCTGGAGAGTGAGATAACTGCTCAACGACACCTTCTTTTTAAATGTTACCGGTACCCATGAATAGAAACCTTATTAATTAACGAAAATTCATTCACTATTATGCTAGCCACCAAGTCTAATATTTTAAATCATTGATATAGGTTCATGAAGGAGCCTTTAAATGGCCTTTCAACTACAGACCTTAGGTGAGCGTTTTAGCAGCCGGGCCACCGCCCATTCACACCGCTGTGGTCATTTTAGTAGTTCTTTAAAGGTATAGAATATTAAAAATTTTGTATCTCATCCCTCTTAAATAGTCACGAGCGTGGTCCACATTCTGGAGTCAGGACCAAAATACATTCACAAAGTTCCTTTTGAAGCTAGTGTCTGTTTTAGCCGAGTTAACACACAGAGACTCACCATATGTTGGTGTTTATACAGAGTGTCTGGTTAAATGTTACAGTGTGAATCCATCTTTGGCGTAGATGAGGAGCGCGGAGCGAGCATCAACACACGACACACACACTGTCCTCTTGTTACGAAGGCGTCAGCTCTACAATCCATATAATTTCTTGAATTTACTTAGGCCTTAAAAATAAAACTCTGACAAACTTGTCTAACAGAATACGATGTTCCGGACATGAGACAGTATAAATAGTGTTGGCAATATTATGCCTACTAGGAGGATATACCTTATATGAGAACTACAAAACCAAACCGCTGGACACTAGCTGGAAATAAAAAATACTAGTAGGACATGAAAAAGGTCTTTAAAGTCCTTAAGATTTCACCTTTTGTGAAACCTGTTATTTCTCCTGTACACTGTGTCCATTGTCACGTTGTCAATTAATATATTGTTTAAAAGCACAATTCAGCTTCCATTCAAGAGGTTTTGATTCTACACAGAACCAAGTTGTCATTAATGTTGTTTGAGACGTTTAAGGGAAAATTCCTGTATTTGTTAACCTCCGTGTGTCCTAATTTTATTTATTATTTAATTTATTATTTTTATTGGGGAAAACAATGTGACGAAGCACAAGCCTCCTTCAGCTTCTAACAAACTTTATTTGCAAACAGAAATCCTCTTTAACCCTTCCTTGCTCAGCTGTTAAATAGCTCACATTTAGAACCAGATGAGAAACCAAACATCCAGGTTTCTCTGTCATTGTACGAGCAGTGGTAACATTTACCCGTTCCTGTCTGCAAATCCCCGTCCGTCCAGCATCGGAGCTTCTGATAACCGAGTGCGATGAAAGCAGTACACCTGAAGATGATGACTGATATGATCGCTGCTGTGTGCCACTCCTGGCACTGGTCCCTCTTCTTCTGGGCGTCAACCTCTCTCCACCATCAGCAGCTACTACACCCGGTGACGCTGGAGAACCTACCTTCCACACGTCAACGTTACGCTGAAGGTTTTAAAAGGGTTAACTTTGGATTCTTATAACCTCGCATATTTCTAATGTGCGGACATTAGAGCAATAACACTTTTGCCCCACCATTTGTCAGTTTAACACGAAGAACATGGGGAAATAAGGTCCAGTCTTTTGTTGTGTTTTGATCTGAAAAATGTCCTTAAAAAGAAACTGAGTCAAACCAAATCATGTGCTCTTCTCTGAATACTGCTCACATCCTTCAGGCTTCACACTCGTGAGCACAAAATGAATAAAAGCTGAGCAAACATCCTCATTTTTTATGGTTGAAGCTGCATTAATATGTGGTCATACATCGTTTAACACCACACTCTGTGTAACTGGTAGCCTGTGTTTACTGTCTGACAGTGACGTCAATACATCAGTAGGTTTACATAAAGTTTAGACTCAAACATGTGGAATATGTCCTTTTCAAGCTGAAGACTTCTTCAGTTTGTGTGTGCGTGTGTTCACAGGGACGCTGCAGCCTGTGTCGCCGTGGCGGTGGTTGTTCTCCCTCTTGGTTCCCCTCATGCTGACGCTCAGAGCGCTGAAGAGACGCAATCTGGACCGCTCGGGAGCCCTCGGAGGTCAGTGTGTGTCCACGAGTCTTCAAAGCCGCACCGATAAAAGCATTCAGATTGAATGACCGTAAAGTGAAAGGAGTTGCAGAGATGTATGGCTCGATTCTGCAGCTTTTAACTCAATGTTTTGGTTTTCTGACCTGCAACTTTACAGTTTTGGTTCACAGAGATGAGATAAAAAATACATTTTTGTGCCTAATATGCTCAGTATTCATATTAAAAGCAGTTACAGGAGCTGAAGATATGCAGTTTTGATTAAAATGGGACTACTTGATCCAAAAAAAGTGTGTAACATTTAGGAGGATCTATCGGCGGAAACTGAACGTGATCTATCCAGCAGGTGAGTTATTGAACGCCTCCATGTTACTGCTGCCTGACAAGAAACATCTTCTCACTTCAAACATCACTAAAAGTTAGATATTAACATGTGAAAGTCCCTGTTTCTGTCAGTATCTTGTTAAGGCACACAGAAATGTGAAACTCTGAGCCGTTAACAGATTCTGGAAAGAAAAAGGGATTTCCCGACCTTTTAAAATCAAGGATAAAGATGTGTATTCAACTGGATTTAGTTGCATAAAGAAGCCGCGATCATGTGTGTCTCTTCTAAAACGAATCCCTTTTTCCAGCCGCTGGACAGTGAAATCATCATTTATCATCACAAAGACACGAAAGAGTTCCTCGAATCTTTCCAGGATTCTGAGAAGACTCAAAACTCTGACACTCAAAACCATTCACGAAAAAAAAAATCCCCTGTCTCTCTTGGACTTCATAATCAATCATATTGTAGGAAACGCCTCATTGGCTCATTTAGAGTCTCTACACTTCTTGTTACACAACACATTTCAGTCTTCAAGAGTTTTATGACATTTAGAAGTACTTACGTTAATATAAGTACTACCACTGTAGTTCTAAAATAGTAACGTAACGCTGCCATAAAGTGGTATCGGAGTAGTTTATTGATTACAGTTACGAGTACACAAGTCACTTATAGCAGATTTATGACAGAAAAGGAAGTGGGGGGGTCCGTACTGTCTTCCCATTGGCTCCTTTCTCTAACAAGAGAGAAAAAGATGTGTTTTCAGATGGAGGTAAGAGATGATTGCTGGGGTTGCTGCAGTTTGGGCAGCTGGAGCGTGCTGCAGACCGTACATGGTTTTCTTCTTCAGCTCAGTCTGTGTAGCTTTTTGTGTTTAATTTTGCAGTTTAACCTCATCAAGTTCGCAGTTTATCACTAAAGCTCTTTATCAGAAGAGAAATCTAACAGTATTTGTCACAATCGAATCCTTTGATGACGTTGGAAAGGCGACAACCCTTTTCTTGTTCCCATTTTCGGGGGACAGTTCCCCCTCTGAGAGAAGCCGGCGAGGACAGAATAAATCTTTTGTGCAGCCGAAAAGAATCGATTGGACATCCGGCAACAGCTGAACCTTTCAGAAAGAGGAGTCGCTGCTATCACATGGCTGTGTGGGGGTTTTAATACGAGAAAGTCGTTACTGGTTTGAGTAATTAAAATGTTGAAGGATGCCATGGTGGTTTGCAGATGTTAAAAAGATGCGGTAAAGGAAGTTAGGTACTCCTTTTCAAGAAGCAAGAAATCCAGCACGCAGGAGGCCCTGGAGATCCTCCGCAGTGTCGCTGTGATGTCTTTCTCTGATGGGAATTATGTTCTCTCAGCTCTCCTGGTGGGATTCGTGTTGACGATGGCCAACTACAGCTTCTTCTCCTCCCTGCTCGCCTTCTTCATCACCTCCTCCAGACTGACCCGCTGGGGCGGAGCCAAGAAAAGGAAAATAGACGCCGAGTACAAAGAAGGTGAGAGATGCGGAGGTTTCGTTTTTTAAAGCTGATCTCAGTTTAAATCTTAATGTATTGACGTTTGTGTTTGTGTTAGGGGGGCAGAGGAACTGGGTTCAGGTCTTCTGTAATGGAGGAGTTCCCACAGAGCTGGCACTGCTGTACATGATAGAGGTAAACACACATTCATTGGAGACGATCAATAAAAGGTGTGTTCAGGATCATAAACGGTGGTTGTGTTTCAGGTGGGTCCGGGCGAGATCCCCATCGACTTCAGTAAACAGTACTCCGCCTCCTGGATGTGCCTTTCTCTTCTGGGCGCGCTCGCCTGCAGCACCGGGGACACCTGGGCGTCGGAGGTGGGCCCCGTCCTCAGCCAATCACAGCCCAGACTCATCACCACCTGGAAGGAAGTCCCAGCAGGTGAGGACTACATACTCCTCCGTCCTCGAGCTGTAGACCCCGGTACTGGTGGAGGTCCGAGGCGAGGAGAGAGATCATCTTTTTGCTCTTTAATCCATTCGCCCACTTTGCCCACCAGTGTTTGCTGTGTATTATAATAAATGTGTGAGAAAGTAGAAAATAGTTTAATTTTTAGTGTATAATTCCTAAAAGAATTGGCTGTCAGTGAGAATAAAATCGCTCTGTTTGGAGGGTAAATCTGAGACGTCGTACGGCTCAAAGGAACTACAAGGAGAGAGGCAGGAAAGTACTTTGACTGAGGTCTGTTGGCTGGTAGCTGCGTGGTCGAGTTGCATTGTGGGTAGTGTAGGCGCCAGGTTTTGAAGGAAGAGGAATGTGTGGAATAAAAAAACGATATCTCTGATTCTGCTGCTCGATTTTAATATTCACTGTCGATCAAAACAGTTCACCACAATGTTGTTCTGACCCACAGTCCAAAATATTCCATTTAAAGTGATATAAAACAGAAAAGAGTAAACCGCTCACATTTGGGAAGCTGGAACCAATGAATGTTTGACATTTGTATCATGGTTTATCAGAATCATTTTCTGTCCATATTCTAGTGAATTAATCAACTTATTATTTCAGTTAGTATTTAAAAGAGTATCCCAGTGATTCAGCATCGCACTTCTAGAGCATTATGGGACTCATTTTAGGGATTAAAGAAGAGAAAACGACGAAAATGATAATGAAATATCAGTAAATGGTGAAATGGTGATCTTATTCTGTCCACAACCCAAAGATATTCAGTTTACAGTTATAAAAGAACAAAAGAAACCAGAAAATATTCACATCTTAGACGCTGAAATTAGAGAGTTTGGACATTTATTTTACTAACAAATGACTCAAAACGTTTAATCGATTATCAAAATAGTTGGTGATTAATCGAGTTTAAAGAATTAGAGATTGAACCAGAGTCTGATAGAAATGACACAAATCAATTAAAATAGGTTTATTATTAAGAGAACAGACGTGAGGAATCAGTAAAAACAGCTATATTAATAATATTTGAAATAAAATCTGTGTGTGAAGACTCGGTGGCGCTGATGAAGGTTCGATCTACTCCTCTTTCTCCCTCCAGGAACAAACGGAGGAGTCACTCCCGTCGGACTGCTCGCCAGCTTCCTCGGCGGGCTCACCGTGGGCGCCGCTTACTTTGTGACACAGCTCCTGATGATCAGCGACCTGCACATGGCGGACCCGCAGTGGCCGATCGTGGTGTACGGCGGCGTGGCGGGGCTGCTGGGATCCATGCTGGACTCGTTCCTGGGAGCTCACATGCAGTACTCAGGTAGAGCGGATTTATCGTACCGTGCAGCTCTTTTATGAACCTGCTGGTTGTTGTTTTTGCTCCATAAAGTGTCACAAAAAGAAAATATCCATCAAAAGTTCACTTTGTATTGTTTGTTTTGTCTGAAACACAAAGATTCTGTTTTACTAATCATCAGAGATTTCCATGGAAGAATTTGTGCTTTAAAATGAGTTAAAAGATGAATTTTAAAACAGCTGCTGATTAACTTTCTGTAGACTGACTGAACGATTTCCTCTGTGTGACTTTCATACAACTCTCTGCTGAGTCTGTTTACATTTAAAATAATACCAATAAACCTCAAAATATCTTTAAGAAAAAAACTAAATGATGTGCAGGAGATTCTTTATTAATAATCCAGCTGCTGATTTACCTGCACATCAGAATCAGAATCAGAAATACTTTAATAATCCCAGGGGGAAATTACTTCACATGCCTCATTCATTAACGGGCGGAGGAATAGATAACATTATATAATGATGTAGAATTTAGGTTTGCATTGAGAGAAAGAATCAGCGTTTTACAAGTATTGTTAAGATCAGAAACACAACGAATCAGTGACATCTGAGAGGTTTTTGATGAGTAAAAAAAGGAAAATCTTAGTGTCTAGATTTAAGATAACCAGTGTTAGTGTCCATTTTAGTACTGTACATCGGTACTTGTACTTTACTCGAATATTTCCATTTTATGCTACTTTATACTTCTACTCCACTACAGCAAATTAATGCAATTAAAGCTGGACCACTGCCGTAAGGACTCGGCATTTTAAAATGAATTTATTCTATCAGCTATCAGAAAACTGGAAGAATGTTAAATATCGGATCAGATAATCGATCCATCCTGTACTCACTCTCTCTGGCTGCACTGGGGTCAAGGGTTAACTCTTGTTATTTACAAAAGCACAAAAGAGTGAAGTCTCTACAGCAATGATTCACAAGGAAGCACAGTAGGTCATTTTGAGTATATTGATTGGTCTATCTGTCAATCAGTTTGTGTTCTCTCTCTCTTTTAACCACAATTGCCAGTCGACTATGAAAGGTGTCATTTACTCCCTCAGTGCTTTCTGACATATTCTAATAAATAAAGTGACCTTCCCTCCTCTCTGTCTGCAGGCTTTGACTCGAGCATCGGGAAGGTGGTGGGTTACGAGTCCGCCACCACCCGGCGGATCTGCGGGAAACCCATCTTAGACAACAACGCGGTCAACCTGTTCTCGTCCGTCCTGGTCGCGCTCATCCTGCCCGGGTTGGCGTGGGGGATGTGGCCGCGATAGACAGACGACGGACAGACACTAAGCGCTGGACTGAACTAAAGAATCTGATCTGAGACGGAGTTATGAGACGTTTGAGTCTCTGTTGGTCTGAATATTAGATAAAAACGCTGCCTGTATTATCGTGTTGGACGTGCTGATCGTGGTAAAGACTCTTTGGAAGAGGAAAATAAATACTAATGAAAACACAGATCACTTATTGGAAGTCACTGCCCTGATAGATCAGATAGTTAATAACACAAGGGATTGAGGGATTAGTAAGTAGTTATGGACTGATATTCATTACTTTTTTGTATTCCAGGTGAGCAAAATTATAAACACAATAAAACAAAAGGTTATATATATATATACACCAAATTCACTGCGACATCTCAGACCATAACAAAAGGTGCTTCAGCCAACCACACTACACTGACACAACCAGTAATTTTACTTACATACTTTATATATCATGGTAACGTCATTCAGAATGGGCAGAAACTAAATAAAACTAATTAAAACTGTCTCTGTCAGTGTTTCCGACAATCAGCAACTCTGGTTTGGTGGCAATAAATCCTTCATTTAGTGATTTTGTTCTGTATTTTTTAACTCTGAGCGAGACACTGAACTCTAACTGCTCCTGATGTGTGTGAATGCAGCCTGTTGTAAAGTGTCGAGAGCTCGGTAGACTAGAAAATTTGGATATAAATGTTGTTTTTAATGTATCGAGGGCAGATTTCACCCTAATTTATATAATCTCATGCTTCTGATGAGCCAGCTTCAAGGTTTTCTGCTCTTCACAGTACGGATTTACATTCACAGCTCGTCAATCATGTTAAAAACCGCCTCTGACTGATGTTAATAAACTGGTCCTACTTTTAAATCAAAGATGTGTTTTGTCTGTCAACCTGTGTGAGTCAGTCAGAAGAGGATTAATGGAGTTTTTAACCACTTGTATCACTCTCTTATCTCTTTGTATCCATCTCTAAATCTCTCTGTATCTGCTGGGTACAGCTTTGTAAGAGTGGAATTAAAGCACTTTCAAGGAACTTTCCAGACTCTCGAAGCCTTTTTTGTCACATCTAAATTGTTACTATAAATACAACTGTGAAAAATATAGTTTACAGTTTTATTATAGTAGCAGTTTGTAGTTTATTCTACCAGATGTTAGTATTCATTTTGATTGTATGCTTCGATTTCGATATTAGTGTTTAATCACCTGAATAAGAATTGTTACCTGAATATGGGACAGCCCTAGCTCTACATTTCTATATCTCAGTGTATCTTTATCTCTTTTCCCTCCCAACCCTTTATGTATTTTATCTTTACCAAACCAAACCGACGCCCTTCGCACTGACCTGTAGCGCACTCGACCTTTGACCCTGGCGTGGTTACAGCGTGTGAACAGACTCCACGGAGAGCGGCGGCTTTTCAGAGGTATTACTGTTTTTATTTCAGAGTGTCTGAGAGAAAAGGCACTAAACCAAACCGGGAGAGTGACATTGACTTTGAATGGGAGAGAGAGAGAGATGCAAAGGAGTCGGGTTTAAATTAACATATATATATATATAAAGTTTACACAACACCAGGCATACAAACACACTCAACATCCACACACACACACACACACAGCTTATTATCTACACATTCCTGATTGATTAAATACAGCAGACTGAAAACTCCAGGAGCCGTTAAAGGAAAAATTCCCCCAAATGTTTGTATAAAGTATGTAAAGACGCCAGAACATCACGTAGTGTTTAAACGGTTTGTTTTTTCCTTTAACCCCCGACTCTCCTGAAGCTTCACCGACGTCTGAAACAAACTCCAACAACAAAAAATCACCAACAGAAACGCTCAAAGAAACTATAAATACAGTTTTCCTGCTCACAGAAACAAGTGTTATATGTTGAAAAGACATTTTAAAGCCCCATTCAGGGAGTACTACAGGGTTGGGGGGTCGGGGGGGGTTCACTGTGCTCCTCAGTAATTTAACCCTTTAAAGTTTGTACTCTTCTGATTATCTTTGCAACTGTTCTTCCTTAAACTGTCCCAGACTGCAGCAACATAGAGTGAAATTAAATATACGCTCATACGCGGTTTCATTTTGTAAACGATAATCGATTGTTTGGTCATTTTTAACGTTCGGGTCTCATTTCTTAAGATTTGACTGCACAGAATACTGTAATATACGGTTTACTGGAGAATATTAGCTGCATTGTAAAAAGGTTTCTTGAGTAAAAGGGCCACAGTAAGGAAGAAATATGAGATTCACAGAACAGAAATATTCTAAGAAAGATCTGAATGTTGTGAAACGTTGAATAAAGTCATTTTGAGAAGAAAAAAAGTCAATAATGAGTTTTACAAGAAAAAAAAACTGAATTTTGAGAGTAAATGTAAAATATTTAGCAAATAAAGTCAAATTATAAAGAATAAGTCATTAAAATGTTTG